CTTGCTCTGATACTTACTTAAAAACTCAAGCACCTATCTATGGCAACTATCACTTTAAAAGCTGTTTCAACAGAGGTTAAGTTTCCATGACATCTAACAAAACTAAGAGGTGATGTTTTTCTCTGACTACTAGCATCCCACATAGTATAGTCACAGCATGATTTCATGGACTTTAAAAATGCCCAGAAAGTGCTTGACAGTTCCAATCTTACTTAATGTAAAACAGGAGAAAGATAATCTCTTTGCACTTCCATAGTTGTTTGTCCTCTGATTGTTTTGAGGAGAAAAACCAGTAGTATAAAATATTTCTAAACTTCTTCACAGAGAGTAGCTCTCAATTTTAGATGTATCTTAGAATCACTGGGGAAGGGAGAAAGGAAGTAGAGGATGGGAGGAAAAGAGAGGACAGAAAAGGAAGGAGGACTAATGCCTAGTCCTGACTCCAGATCATTTAAATTAGAATCTTGGCTAGTGAACCTGGGCATAAAGGTTTTCTACAGTTTACCTCAGATTCCGATACACAACCAATGTTAAATTTATGACTTAAAGGATTCAACTGCCTGTCCTCAGTAGAGATTAACTGTGGGCCACGCCATTGGTTGTGAAGGACAGACTGTGGGTCAAGTGTCCAGAAAGAACCATAGCATATCCCTACCTTTTGTCTTCCGACTTGTAATGATTAAAAGCGGAGATACTGGAAAATGAAAAACAGACCCTTCCAGTAGGTGTTTATGCTACCAATATCCTTATGCCGTTTGAAAGATGAAAAGCGGAGTGACAATCCTTGTAGTAACTTAATTCCAATGGCATGATGTTACCTGGGTGGCTGGTTGCTAAAGACATAAAGGATGAGTAGATTCACTGACAACTAAGGCCACAATGAACAGGCAACTGAGAAAATTAGAGGACGGTCCTTCCCGGCATCCGTTCACAACCATTCCTCTGACAAACTACAGGAAAAAAGCAAAATTAAAATGTGAGAAATATATTCTTAGCACAGACTACAATGGATCTATAGTATTTTGGAGGTATTCCTTAAGAACAACAGAGAAAGACAGGAAGAAGATGAATGGGAATATTCTACAACTGATGTAGATTAAAAAAATTGTGGCCTTGGCAGGTGATCTAAAAGTTAATAGTCTTTTATTGCTATTATACAATCTGTATGTACTGTTGTAGTCACTGTACCTTTATACCACAACGTACCCAGTATCAATCCTTAAGATTTCATACATCACATTAAAAATGGATGAGTCTGAAACACTTAATTTCATATCGGAACTGGACATTTCTCTCAAATAAAAAGCATCCTGGCAGGTGAATGAAAAATGCTACATGAAATGGAATGCTTGAAATACCAAATAGGCTTTTTAACTAAAACTGTTAAGTTATAAAAAAAAAAGTACAAGTGAAACAACTGGCTTATTCTTAGGTTCTTTTCTATGAACTCCCAAACAAATGTTAGCTGTACAATAATGCTAGTTAATGCATGTTTCTAAATACTTTTATTGTTAATGCATAGTTAAGTTACTGAAGGAATGAATTAGTATTTAGTACTCTAGAGTACAGAACTTGAAAGGGAAGAATCTAAGAGACAGGTTTGTTATTATCTACTTCTTTAAATGGTTCCCTTTGCATGTTTAAAGATATCAAGTGACAGTATGACTACTTGAAGGCAAATAAGTAGTTCAAAAAGAGATGAGAAGTGACAATTTAATTTTTTACTACTGATTAAAGAAATAACGATAGCTTTGGAAGAACACTTTAAGAAAGGACCCAGTTCCTATCCCATTTGTGATGAGGCATTATGCACTGGACAGTAAACCTGGAATACTTGCAGATCAAAGTAAACAAGCAGTACTTATAAAAGCCCAAAGTTAGGAAACCGTGGTAGATTGGGAAAATCGCCACAGAATGATAAGTAGAGAGGCTTCTTGTTTTTGTTAGACAATGCACAGATAACTAAATTAGAAGATAAATGTAATTATTAGCAGAAAGCAAGCCTTGGGATCCAGAACACACTCCAAAAATCTTTTCGCTTCCTACCTTGTTTCTAATTAAGAGGATAATTTGTACTTATTGAGACCTAGTTGAAGATTTAGCAACAGCATAAACCTTTATATCACAGAAAATTCTCCATCACATCTTCACCACCAGCAGTTTTTTTTTTCAGTCAGGAAGAATTATACCACTTTTATAACATAATGCAGACCCTTCCTTAGGGTCAAAGGCCTAATTTTTAAAATGTAAGAACCACAGTATAGTTTTGTTAGATTGCCAAGTATCAACTTTACTTTTGGTACAAGCACCCTTGAATCAAGTCTGTATTTTGGTTTTGGCACACAGAATTCTATAAAGACTACAAGTTAGTAAAAGTTCTAATTTATATAGTACCAGTTTTTTTTTCTTTCTTCTGGCTACAATCCCAAGACAACATTGTTTGAAAGGCAACTGGATAAACTGAGGTGCTGGAAACTTTTAGATCTTCTTTCCTATAATATGCTGCTCCCTCTCCCTACTTTTAATATATCTTCATAAGAGGGGGTGTGTCCTAAGCTGGGCATGGCATCTTGTTCCTATAATCGCAGCTGTTCGGGAGGCTGAGGTGGGAGGATTGCTTGAAGCCAGGAGTTCTCGATCAATCGGTCTGGACAACATAGTGAGATCCCATCTCTACAACAAAACATTAGCAACAAAAAAGGGAATGTGTCCTGATGAAGGCAGCAGGTTTGAATATGCCATATAACCAAGAGAATACATAAAAGATACTGTGATTTATTAAAACAGCATTATTTTCTCCAGAACCTCCTGCACACTACCAATATTTTAATTTCAGCATCCATCTCAAGTTGCATACTGAAAGGTAAAAGTGCAATTCAGTAATCTTTTCCAAAATGTTTTATTGCTACAGGTTGAAACTTTTCAACCATCAAAATTAGAACATAATTTAAGTTTCTGCTCACTATGGTGTAACACAGCCATTTCATGGGACTTTGTTTTTAATGTAGGTTGACAGTAGAGTTCAGCAAAGTTTAGATGATAGCAGAATGGTATCATTAAATTTTGTCTATAATTTAAAGAAGTGGGGCATGAGCTAGAATAAAAAGATTGCCTTGTATCTGAAAGGTCAGTCTTTCTTTGAATTCTCAAAGATTAATTTCAAAATTTAAGGCTTTAATTACCTAACACAAGTATATACCTATCTTGCATCAAAGTCCAACATTTTACATTACAGCTTTTCCCAAACAAATACTACACATGGTAACCGAAATATTCTTAGAAATTGTACAAAAGACTTCCCTGAACTTATCACAACCTACCTGAATCTGGACCACACTTTTTTGATCTCTTCATAAAGTCACGGCTTTCATTTCACTGCTCTAATAGCAATACACCATGGAGTACAAACAACACTGTGAAAAACAAGGGCCTGATTAAGCCCACAGGAAAGCTCTTCACTAATACTGGCATTACCTTTAGCCATGCTGTTAGAGTTCACACTTTATTTTTCTGAATAAATAAGATACAGAAAAATGTTGAAATATATTATATGACTCAACTATCTAATTAAAGCTGAGTAAACTAACCTAGTCAGATTTTAGTTTTTCAACGAGAAATGACAAGAGTAGCTGCATATAAAGAAAAACAAAAAGAACTTTACTTTCCTATGTTAATACAGGTCAAGAGACCCTTTCTTCTCAAAAGGGTTGGTAACACCAGTTCTTAGCAATAAACATAAGGCACTTAAGATTACAACATCACTGCATTTTTTCCACTTGTTTTTCTAACCCTGTTTTTCCCCCACAGTATCATTTGAAATTAATAGGATGAATGAGGCAAATATGAGATGATCCAGTTGATACTACTCAGAGCAAGAATACAGTACAGTGTTTCAGGGGTGATGTCTGGACATAAAATGAACCCAGTCAAGGTCCTCTGACACCAATGTATCCACTATCAAGTAAACCTGAAAGAAAATAAAAGATTTATTCAATAGTTCCAGTAAAATTGGGTTGGAATACAATATACATATTACGAATTTAGCTCCTCACCGGTGGCATCTGCATCTTAAGAGTTCTGAGTACTTATGAATATTCATTCTAAGACAATCTACATCATTTGAACATTGTCAAGACAAATAGATGAATTTCATTTGAATATACAGTAGAGTTTAAACAAAATTCACACACATACCCCCTATTATATGGCTGGTGCCTCCTCCAAACACCTCATTAGTGGCAGAGGTAGGACTAGTGTTCTTTCCCAACAATAAGAACTTCAGTTGCCACTCATAGGAGTTGAAAAGAAGTTGTTTTTTTTTTTTTTTTTTTTTTTTTTTTTTTTTTTTTTTTTTTTTTTTTTTTTTTTTTTTTTTTTTATCTGTTAAGATGTTCCTGAGACAGGGCCAGTTAATAAAACATAACAAAGCACTGGAGTTCAATTTGTACTTCTCTTTACATCACTACTAAACTGTTAGACTGGGATGTGGAATGCAGGTCATATACTATGAAGGGTTGATCGTAGCACAACTGTTCAATCAGTAAAAGATCTTCGGCAAATTCCCGTTAGGGTACTCTTTCTATAAACTACGTGTTCCACAAAAAGGTCAATTTTACATACAATTGATTCATTTTACTTTATCTTATTTGCTCAGATCTTGCAAATGCAATCAGAATATTAAGCCTGAGGCTAGTTTTTAGTGTATAGGTTTAACATATTAAGGCTCATTTACTCAATCAAACTAGTTTTTAGTATTCCTTTTAAATTATGAATTACATTCATAGTACCTGCCACCATCCTTGCCCTCAATGAAATCTTACTGCAGGAGCAGCATTCTACTTCATTATGGAATTTCCCTGACACCAGCACTTAGTCCCTTCTAAAAAGCTCCCATCTGTTCTAGCCTTACAGCATATGACATTGCCTCTGGTTTGCACCTCTGTTTCCACCTGTGTATTTCACAGAAGCCCAACACAGATTAGTTGAAATATTCACACAACTGTTTTTCAAAACAATTTATTGCATCATATTTGGTACCTTATGTTTGACAACAAAAAGGAAATTACATCTGTAACTGCAAGAAAAAGAAGCTGGTCTGTTATTTGGAAAAAAAAAAAAAAAAAAATCTTGGGCCCTTTAAAAATTACAAAGTCTTGGGCTTGCCTGAAACGACTGAGCAAGAAATATATTCTTAGAAATGTAGGGCTTCAAGTATTACAAACCTGTGACACTGTGGAAAAATTCCAGAGGTATCTAAACTGCAGCACTTTTTTTTTCTGCATATCGTGAACAAGGCCTGCTGAGGTTTTTAACTATTAGTCTTTTGATCAGTCATAGAATGGTAGTCAGGAGTTCTGCTCTTTAACTTCAAGCCATGGTAGATTTTCCTTTTTTCACTCTTGGGTGAAAAATTCATGCTTGCTAATTAGTTGGTGCCACATCACAGTGCATTTGGTTCTTGCATTACAGTTTTAACAAGTTTGGCCAAACAATGCTGAAAGGTTTGCATTGTTGTTTTAGTTCTTCAAGTTTTAGTTAAAATTGAGACTGTTACGACTGGTTCCTTCAGTTAAAAACTGTGGTACAAGAACACCAAACTGATCATGTACAGTGAATTTTGGAAAAACGAGCATATTGAACACCTTATAGGTTTCTTATAATTTTGCTTGGTATCTATATGTCCCAGTTTCTACAACATCAAGCATCTGTTGTAGATTTCTCTGTAAATAGTGATTCACATTGCATACTTCCTATGGTCAGAATCAACCCCGTAACAAAATCAGTCAGATGCTAAAGCCCCAACAACTCTTTGTGCTCAGTGAAAGAATCCAGTGCTAAAACAGCATTTATGCTGTCTGAGATATAGTAAAATCTCACAAGACAAATTTAAGGTAATATTTCTGCCACACACCTGCTTTGTTAGCTGTAACAGCCTCCAGATTTTATATAAATTAGTTTAAAAACATGGGTGGGTGGGTAGGAATAGGATAAGGTATCTTTTTTAACCACTCAATTTTAGCAGCTTTAATTTTTTAAGAAACTGAACCTCTATCCTGTAATGTTAGATATTTTATATATACTTTTTCAGCAGGATAAAAAACGTAAAACACTATTTGAAGGCAAGAACATTTACTCCTCTCATTCTGTGTAAGTTAGAGCAATGCAGCAGGTGCGTGACAAAAATATTATATACTAGATATGGTCCAAAGTCATTCCATTTGCTTGTTTAGTGATGTTCAAATTTCATTGGCCAGTTCTTCAGCTTCTGCAGAACTATCTCCATTAACTGTGATCTTCATATCCTCTTCATATCCAGGAGGCATGAAAGCCAAAGCATAAGGGAAAAGCTTATGACAATTTGCTCTATAAACTTCAGCAGCTTCTTTACAGTCTCCTAGGCTACCATCACACAAGGCTTCCAATACCTCCATACATGTCTAAGGAAAGAAAAAAAGTCATAACTGGTTAAAAAAAGTTCTTACTTTGAATTTATTAGACATTTCAACAGCAAGAGATTTCTAAAATAAGAAATAAATACACATATTTAAGGAAAGAAAACAAAGCTGTTTACTCCTGCATATACATTCCATTAGGATTTTCTTTGAGGCCTAATTTAACCATTTCTCCAGAATTGCAAGGTTCATAAAAAAGGCTAAACAGGGACAATTGTAGAAATAGGAATGGGACTTTGGTAAGGCAAGCAAGGTATACAGCGTGCTTTATTTAAAGAGGCACTCACTCTCAGTAAGTGTACCTTAGGCAGCAATGTTACCTCGGTCTAGCCTGGCCCTGGGTATAAACATCTAGACTGACAATGCCAGTATCAATTACTGCACATATGCCTTTTAATATTTTTGAAAGCTTACAGCCAGCTAGCATAATCAAACACTGTATTCAACTTTGTGTTTAAATTAAAGAGCATCTTAAGCCACATCCAACTAGGCAGAAAAGAGTGTCTCAAATATGAAGTGATTATTTGGAAGAAAAACTAGTTCATGAAAATGAGTAATTCTTTCAACAAAACTCCTAAGTCTGCTTCTAATCTTTTTTATTGACATGTTGACTTGCATTTCTCATGTTTGCTTTCTTAATGTTTTAACTTAGAAAACACTACTTAGTTCCCAGATATAAAAAACCCCACAAACTTTGCCAGGTTACAAAGCAACTTAAATCCAGGTTACAAAGGACCTACATTAGAAATTTAAATCCAGGTTCTAATCTAAATGGTATAACTAACAAGTCTAATTTTTCCTTTCTTAAAGATATTGCCTTCATTTGCTATTAAATATATTAATAACTGTCAGCAT